CTCGTCAAAGCAAATTCTTACAGACAATGGACAAAACTTTATATGCCAACTAATTGATTTAAATTAGAAATTAAAATTATTTGGGAATTAAATGAGCAAACAAAAATATAGTAAACAGACTATGCAACAAGCAGTTTATCGAATTTTAACTTATATATTATAAAGTTATTAAGAAATAAATTCTGAAACAAAGAAACATTGTTTGTCAATGAGAAAGTTCTGAAATATGCTGTAAGGAGTATTAAAATTGTTTTAAATAGGACATTTTATTCCATTTCTTTGTACTAATCTTAATACGGTTTTCTTAAGTATATTGCAGAATAGCACGATTTACCATTATCGCTACAGACATTGCTATTTTTCATTATGCAAAGAAGCAATCACTCAGGAGTATTAAATATTTATTATGCATGGGTACCTACTTTCGTAGGATTGTGCGCGGTAAGAAACACTTTTGTGAGAAATTCCAAATACACGAAGCGAGAAACAAATACTTTTCAGCAAGTCAAATTGTCATGGTCTTACTTTACGCTGTTGCATTCCTTGCAGAAATAATGACAATTATAGTATACTTGCAAATTCCATAGAAATACAGATTGATTGATATGTTAGTATTACTATTTAAAATGATGTTTTATATTAACATCGCATGTATTTGTATGAAGTCAAAAGTGGAGCACTACAATGGAAATTCGTTCATTCACGTGAGAAATATCATTATGCTTATTTATTGGCTAAAAGTCTTTAAAATTGAATAAAGGGAATGGGGAAGAAGTATCTGTCGTTTATATCCAATATTTATATGCAATATGTCTCGCAGTGTGACTGGAGATGATTCTGCATGTCGAGAAGAAGAAATAAAAATTTTTTATTAAAGTGATATTGGAAGTGATTGTAATAATCTAAGTAAATTTTCATAGCATTTTTTCGTTTTCGACAAAAATAAGTATGAAAATGTATCGATTACACTTGAATTTAACTAATTCCCTAGAAAATATGGTGCGAATAATCAACACGGGGATATTAAAAATAAGTGAAAAGTGTAGAATGAAAGATTCTCGTTTAAGGTGTCATTTTGAAAAAAAAAACTGAATATGTTTCATTAAAAGTTGGTTTAGTACAAGTGAACTTGATAAATTCTTAAATTCAATGTTCTTCAAAACAAAGCGTCTTAAGAAAAAATATTATTCTTATTTTTTATTCTCCTGCTAAAATTATTTTTTTTTCTACCACATTTAGAATTAGCTAAATTTAAGTATGCTTGATAAATTTTCAATCTCAATTTTCATGGAAAATGAAGACTTTAATAAACAAATTTTATTCCTTTTTCTCAAGTCATTTTTACATATAGTATCATCTCCCAATCGATTAACTATGGACGTCCTGTAAATTCATAGATTAACCATTCTCTTACCGATCTCGTTAAGATTTAACTATGTTACAGAAATCGACAATTTTCTCCTTCTAAGGAAATGTCAATTTTTTAACACATATTAAATCATCGAAACCCGGTGAGGTTTATCCAGGAATTTTGTCGATGGGCAAAAGAGTAGATTGAGTCGTTTGATTTAAAGGTATCATTGCTGAACTTCCTCCAAAGCTGTTTTGAAGAATAACATACCGTGAAATCTTGAGAAAGTCACCCTCGTTGCTGCCGGACCACAAGAGCTCGGTGGTAGTGAAGAACGAGGGCCGGAAGCTTTCGAAAGCGCCGACGTCGCTGCAGCATTCGCAGAGCCTGAAGATCATGCTGTATTTAGGCGTGCAGTCGATGCCGCCGCAGCACAAGCCGTACGAGTACCGAAGCCCGACGCAGAGTCCGCACCATCTTCATCACTTGGACAGGCTACAGGCGACGAAGAGTATACCCCAGAGCCATCACCGGAGCAGTAGCGGGTCCACGACCCCGGCGCATCATACCAGTCCTCTCCAGCAACCCGGTCAAACGGTGCGACACGCGCAACCGATTATCAACGTGGCGCCACGTGCAAAGATCAAGCAGCATTTCTGAACACGCTGGCATCGCGAATCCCTGAATGAATTGACCACACGCGCCAAGTGGACAAGCGGCCAACATCCGATCAAAGAGGGAGTTCTGGTCCTTATCAGAGAAGACAACACGCCTTCGATGCAGTGGCTTGGAAGAGTCATCCAGGTCCATCCGGATTCCGATGGGGAGATTCGGACAGCAATGGTCAAAACAGCAAAAGGTATACTCGATCGGAGCGACTCGCACCTTGACCATACATGCCGGGTGACGCAGAGCCATCCAGCTCCGAAAACCAGCCTACAGATCCTTCTCACCACTAATAGGTATCAGTTTGATCGCTACAGTCTCAACGGGGGAGTATATTACACAGCACGAAGGATCGAGGTCTTCTCAGAAGATGAGCCCGACCTACCTGATCGGGAAAAGTCGGGTTCAAGAAACAAAGCACTCTCGGAGACAAATAAGCACTCACTCGACACGTTTCAACTGTCTTTTCTAACAGTTCTTCCTCGATATTCCTGCCGACCAGTTCGATTCCTTTATAGTGAACGTGAATAAGTTTCATCACAAGCAAACCTCGCGATTAGTCAATTACGCATTAGTCAATTACGAAACTTACGTCGAAGTCCAAGAGAATACAACCTTTACTATCTTTACCAACATAACTGTTCGTAAGGAAAGCGGACCGACCGGAGACAACCTTC